TATATAATTTTCATCCCTTTCTCCCAATCAGCTCGTGTGTAACCCCCCACTCACTAACAAATTTATGACCTCTTTTTCTTTAATTCTTATTGTTGCATATAAGTGTATGTTTCCTACTGAGTCCATTTAGTGGTGTCCTCTGTACCTGTGTTTAGGGCTGACCACTTGGGATCAGATAACCTCTCAGGGAGCTCTTTCCTGGAGAAAGCTGATGCTCACTCCCTCAGCATCCGTTGATTGCCTGTAGCTCTTTAACCTTGGGTTGGGAGCTTGTAGAATTTCTCCTATTCACATTGTTAAATTCCAGTGTTGCTTCTCATTTTAGAAATTGTATTGGGGAAAAAGGAAAAGATGCCCTGACATGAGTCCTGTGCCTAAATTCAACATGACTGAAAGTTCACTTTCCATCTAAACATTTTGTCTTGTTTTGTTTCTCATTGCAGACGTTTGGAACAGAACTCAATCAGGGTCATCCCTCCTGGAGCTTTCTCACCATACAAAAAGCTTAGAAGAATGTGAGTTGACAACATTATAGGAAATGATGTCATTTTATTCATGACCGTGCATGGAAAACTAAGCATGACTATTGAAGAGATTGGCAACTTGAAAGATTAATTGCTGAGACTTTCAGATTGCTACTTATGTAATAGTATTTTAATTTTAAGAACAAAAATATATAATTTTAAAGACTTCTATAACACATTATACTGATTTCCACAAATGTGGACAAGACATCATGCATTGCCTTTCACACCCTATTGTCTAAATAAGGCATCTTTACTAATAACTTATCAAATGGCCTTGGTTGATTTTAAAATGATTCATCTTTAAATTTCAGGTTTGTTCAGTGTTCTGGGTTGCAAACTTGTCCTCATAGGCAACATATAGAAACAATAAATCATCTTGTTTTACTGCCAATCTCCCTGGCATGCTGTTTAATTTAACCTAACCTTATTTCTGATTGTAGAGACCTGAGCAATAATCAGATCTCTGAGCTTGCACCAGATGCTTTCCAAGGCCTGCGCTCTCTGAATTCACTGTAAGTTTTCACTTGAGGAAAAACAGAATCTGCAACCAAATTTTTTAATTGGGTTGGGGGAGGTTAAGAAAAAAATCTGTGTTTTGTGATGAATTATGAATAGTTAACATTGTTAGTAATGAATTTTACCATTTTACTGCACTCTGTCACTAAAGTTAGCTAGTTTTTAGGGATAGATACATAGCGATTTCTTAATTTTGTTGTTAAGAGAGCAAAAGTAAGGGTTACTTTCTGGATATTTTATTTTGTTTTCTATGTGTAGTAAGGGGGCATTGTTTATGAAGTATACTGGACAACTCTATGTTTATGGCCTCCTAGCCTCTTGTATCTGAGCACAATGTCAATCCCTTTAGGATACAGGTAACAGTGTTGCTGAGAACAGGTATCCATGACCTCTGGGTACCATCCTTTCATCCTTCCTTCATAAACTTAAAATTTTCCTTATAATATTAGCTTTCATAGCACAACAGTCGTATAATATCAAGAGGTCTTTCAGAAGTATAGCTATGCAAATTTCAGACAGTCTACAATAAGTTAATAAAGAATACTATTCTTTCAAACTTGTAAAAAACTTCCCAAAGTCTATAAAGTAAAATAACTCCAAAGTTTACAATTTTAGTGTAGAAGCCAGCACACTTTGTCAAGAGTTCTTCTTAAGGATTTTCATTAATATAAATTATTGCTGAACTCAGATTTCAGAAGTCAGTGTACCAGTAAAAATGCTGTCGCCCAGATGTAAGACCCAGCTGAACTCTAGCATATGGAACTGATATAACAATTTCTTCCTCCTCTCACCAAGGATAGAAGTAAACAACAGTGTTCATCCAAGATTCATTGAGATTCAGGCTGTTATGTCAACGTGCTTAGAAAACTACGGTTTCTTTTGAAGAAAGCAATATACAACTACCACTCTACCTGTATGTTGTTATTAGGTTCAATTTGTCTGTTTGTTTGGGGTGGGGATTGCCTAAAAGGAGCCTAAGGCTAGAGCAACAATTGTTGGACAGTTTAATTGTATTTTGCTCTCTGAGTGAATTGGAAAGTTCTAAAATAACAAAATTCACTCTAAAGCTCAGTTCAATGAATCAAGGTGTCCAAAGATCCCTGTATTACTTTCCTGGAGAGTGTGACACCAGCCAAGGAAACATGGAAAACCTCCAGGCCATGCAGAAGAAAAGAATGGAAGTCAATTCTCTGTATCAGTTACTGGCCTTCAAGTTTCTGTGTTTCACAGAAAATCGTTAAAAGTCGAGAAGGAGGAAATTCAGTGGATTATTATTTATAACTGTTTCCTTTCAGAGTTTACTACTAAGCGTTATTGCTTAAATAAGATTAAGTGACACTTTGGGGGCACCCTGAGAATTAAAACATACAAAGTCAACAAGAAGTAGAGCAGTCTATTTTAATGTGTCATTGTATCTCAGCCAAGCAAGTTCTGTTCATTTACAAAGAGATTGTTATTACAGTTCATGATCATAACCAATCATTATGTAGAAAATCATATACAAATAATAAAATATCAGCTTGGAGTAAAAGCAGTGAATATTGGGGAACTAGAATCTAAGTCTTCATAATGAGATTGCTTGCTAGAAGAGCATTGTCTATGCTTGTGGGACTGCATTTATGTCAGTTAATCCACTGAGGTATTTCCAATTCAAGTAAAGGACTACATAGAAGAGGAGGAACTATTTACCAAAACTAGAGTAGCTGCAGAATTTCCTGCAAAGTATGAAACAAATAGAAAGAGGCCATCAGCTCTGCTGATCTGGGGAAACTCTTCATGTGCTGATTAGTGTAATTTTTTGTGTCCATATTTTGAGTTAACCTTCCCCAGATTGACTTATTTACTCTCCATGAAAAAACTGACTGGTCATATCTACTGTAGCTGATTCCCACACTTAACCAAAACAATATATCTGGCAGAAGTGTACTCCTATTTAGTAGTACAATATAAAATATTATTAACGCAATAAGTTTAAAAAATCATGTATCTGTTGAACCATTTTATCCTTTGTTTTTCTTACTGTGGCAGCAAAAAATTTCTGTAGCATTTAATGCTTTCTTAAAATTCAGCATATGGGACTTGAGAGATGACTCAGTTGTTAAATTCACTTGTTGCCATTGCAGAGGACCTAGGTTAGGTTCCCAGTGCCCACATGGCTGCTAACAACCATCTGATGCCCTCTTCTGGCCTCCGTGGACATTGCACGCATGCGGTGCACTTATAAATACAGGCAGGCAACACACATATGCACATAAAATAAAAATTAATAAATCAAAAGAAAAAATTTTAAAATGCTAAAAATAAAAGAATTTAGCATACTAGAATACTTAGAGCATGTGTGTGTGATATGATATGTGTGCATGTGTGCATTCATGCTCGTGTGTATGAATGTGGAGACACACATGCCACAACATGTGAACGGAGAACAGAACAACCTTGAATGTTGGTCCTCACGTTGTACCTTGTTTGAGAAAGGGCCTTTTGTTTGCTGCTACAGATGTCAGGCTAGCTGAACTGCAGGTTCCAGGGATTCTCCAGTCTCCAACTCCCAGCTCACTCCAGGAGCACTGTGAGGACAGATGCACACAGTTGCATCCAGCTTGACATATGTCCTGGATCTCCAAATGCAGACTGTCAAGCTTGTATATGACAAGGCTTCTAATAACTGGGCCATCCTCCAAACTGTAATTTTATTACTTTATTTTTATTGCTTTTATTATTTTAGTGTGAGTTGAAACTTCCTTTCATAATTAATAAAATAAGAATAAAGTGGTACTGAGCCTGTACTGTTTAGTAATTTTGATGCTTTGTGCTCAAATCTCAGCCCCACCCTTTCCTAGTACATGGCTGATACCATTATTAGTTTATGTGTGCCTCAGTTATACCATCTCTCAAGTGGGGTCACATTCTACCCCTTATAGAAGTGAGGAGTAACTTCAAGAGACAGTAGGTATGACCATGGAAAATTCTTTTACTGATACATGCCAATTTGTATGTTTCTGGATTTTAATAATTCCAGAGAATGTCCACACCCCAAGTCCTTAGCATGTAATTGTCCCCTTTTCCTTTTTCTTTTCTTTCTCTTTTTTTTTCTTTTTGATACATTGAGAACAATCGCAATTCACTTACTATTATTTCCTCTCTTTATCACCTGGTTCCTGAGTTCCAAAAAGGTCTATAGTACAAAGACTTGTTTGCTAATTTTTATTTTCTCCTACTATCTTTTCTTCTTTTTTTGAACATGTAATATTATTTTTTTATGTGTATGAGTATATTGCCCACATGTAAGTAGGTATACCCGTGTTGTGCAATGCCTACAGAGGTCAGAGGAGGATGTCAGATTCCCCTGGAACTGGAGTTACAGACTGCCGTTAGCTGCCATGTGGTTGCTTGAATTCAAACCCTAGTCCCCTGCAAGACAGCCAGTGCTCTTAACCACTGAGTCATCTCTCCAGCTCTCCCCACCATGTTTTCTGGAACTGAGATTGACTCTTCTGCCTAGTATCTTTCATTTCACTACTGGAGTTTCAATGAAAATGGAAATTTTTCCTTTCCAGTTTATTCTCTGCTCTCTCTTTACTGTGATGTCTTGAACACTGCTTACTGTTGTCATTCTAAAAGTACATATCATTGTTTGTATTTTGTAGTGTTAGTTCTCTGGACATTTCCTGTAATAATAAAGGCAGTTCAAAATGACATTTTTACAATGGCTGTCTTACAGTTTCCCACACTGGACATTTTTTCTCTTCTGTAGGAACAATGTCTTCTGTCAGCTTTCAACAAGGCAGAATTCAAACTGACCACCAGCAGCTGCTGTTGCCCACTGTCACCAAATCAAAACTCAGGTTTAAGCTAGACTAACATACTTGCCCTGTCTTCTAACAGCACAAGCAGGAACAGCCTTAACGTGTCTTGTTCCATAGGTCTACAAAACATGCTCCATCTGAGTAATTATGCTTCTTTGCAGTATGTTGCATATAAATCATGTCAAAGAAAACCAGACACTGCTCAGTGAGTCACCGACATGTGGATTTGACCCAACTTTCTTTTTAGATGAGCTCATTTCTGTCTTTCAAATTCTTAAACTTCTTTTTCCTTCTTAGAAGTGTAGCACAAATTCTCCTTGGCCTTCTTGCACTTTGTGATTTATAGGCTGTCTTTCCCTCATTCATATACATTGGTCTTATTTCCTTGACACTTATTCTCTCTCTGAGGTATCTGTACTTTGATATTTTTATCTTGTTTTCTTTGGTACTTTTTTTATTGCATTGGTAAGTGGGCACAGTGATTTTGTTTGTGATCCCAGCTATGGGGAGGCAGAAACAAGAGGACCTCTATCATTCACTGGACAGTCTACTTCAATTGGTGAGGTCCCTGTTCAGTGAGCCACCATGCCTCAGAAACTAAGAATAGAGAGTAATTGAGGACACCTGCTTTCAACCTCTGACCTAAATGTCCACATGTGCATATATACACACATACCTGCATGCACCCACAAAGAAACATATAAACACACATTGCCCCCCCCACACACACACACATACAAAACTATGCCTTGGACTAGTACTGCTATGACTTTTGCTAGAGCAACCTCATTCCTTTCATATTTTGTATGCCTTTATTATAGTAATTTATGAATGATAGCCCATATACAAGGAACACCTCACCACTCTATTTTCTGTATTCCTAGATGAGTTTATCCTTTTTTATTATTATTTTCCCATTTTTGTCATACTTACAATTCCAACAATATTAGTTTATCACTTGATAATACAATCTTAAAAAACTGTTAGAAAAAAAGTTCATAATACAAATATGACCACTCCTAACCAACCCACCTTAGGTGATATTTCTATCAACCTGTGCTGGATAGCTTTATTGTCAACTTGATGCACCTGGGTTGAGGGAGCTGCAACTGGGGAATAGCCTCCATAAGACTGGCCTGTGGCCATGTCTGTGGAACATCTTCTTGATTGTTGAGTGATGTGGGAGGGTCCAGCCCACTGTGGGTGGTGCCGCTGTTGGGGCAGGTGGGCTTGTGTTGCATTAAGAAAGTAGGCTGAGCAGGGGCCAGGGGAGCAAGCCAGTAAGCAGCGTTCCTCCATGGCCTGTGCTCCAGCTCCTGCCTCCAGGTTCCTGCCCTGAGTTCCTACCTTGGGCTCCCTGATGAACTGTGACCTGGGAGATGTAAGTTAAATAAACCCTTTCCTCCCCAAGTTTGTTTCGGTCAGCGTGTTTTGTCACAGCAGTGGAGAATCAAACTAGGGCACAACCTTAAAACAAAAACCTCAAATGAACAGCTACCTCACTAAGATATTCACCCTTTGATTTTTTAAATTTCTTTTTTATTTTTATTTTAATTTTATTGTATGTGTATGGGTGTATGGCTTACATGTGTGTAAGTGTACCCATATCATGCAGTGCCCACAGAGGTCAGAAGAAATTGTTGTATCCCCTGGGCCTAGAGTTACAGACAGTTGTTAGCCATGATGTGGGTGCTGGGAATTAAACCCAGGTCCTCTGCAAGAGCAGCCAGTGCTCTTAGCTGCTGAGCCATGTCTCCAGCCCCTCACCCTCTGATATATATTTTTTTTTTCTTTTTATGGTCTTTTTGAGACAGGGTCTCCCTGTAGCCCCAGCTGTCCTGGAACTCACTATGTAGACCAGGCTGGCCTTGAACTTGATTTTTAAGTAGGCCTCTCACAATTTATGAATGTCTTTGTAGGCTTTTATGTTTCAATATATTCAAAATATGAAACTTCAGGTTTCATATTACTTCAGTGTTGCTCTTTTAACACACCTTTCGCCTCACTCATGTCAGTGCCTCGCACGTTGGCTTGATGGATATTTAAAACTTGGTATTTTACTTAGAGTGAATTGGGTTCCATGTTTGTAACCTACTAAGTTGCTGACACATACAAGAGTACAATAGCTATTATTGGATGAATAATTGAATGGCATTGAATTTAATAACGAGCTGATGTCACATTAATCTATTTGTGTCCCCTTTCAATTTATTTTATCCTTGACCTCAAAAAATGCATTTATCCTTTCTTAATTCTCTTTCCACCTAGGCTCTGACAATGTAGAATTTTTCCTTTCTTCTTTGATTGTTAAAAATTGTTTCTTCACTAATTGATTTACTTCTCTAAAGAAAAATCTATATTCTATATAAATGAAATTTTATGTATGCTTTAAAGCTGTACCACTGGAATCTGAATAAATGGACTATCTTTTTACACTAGGACCCAGGTTTATTCATTCCTTTGTGTGTGTTTTTCCTGTCCTGTAATACATTGCACCTCTCTCTGACATCTTAAAAGGGGAAGAGCATTTCCCTTACTTTATTCATCTCTCTCCAATTGTTATTTTCTTCCTTTTCACACTAAAATCACATACTGCTGTCAAACATATTATATCTTATTTCAGTTTTTTGTTTCTATACCATGGCATCCTCTATACCCTTCCCAAAGAGTATCTTTCTGATTTTAGAATAATATTTAATAATATTTATTGTAGGAATTATGAAAATACTGAAAACTATGTACATGAAAATTCAAATCAAGGTAGCAAAGCTCTTTCTACTTGGTCCTAAATTTATATGTATATATTTTCCAAACAAAATGTATATAATGCTGTTTTTTTGAGACAGTGTCTTCCTGTAGTGCTAGTTGGCCTACAGCTCCCTATGTAGGACAGTCTGGACTGGATCTCCCAGAGATCCTCCTGCCTCTGCCCCCTGAGTGCTGGGATTAAAGACATGTACCATGGTATCTGTCAATGCTGTTAGTATAATACACTGCTTTTAAAAATAACTAAAATTATGGGGATGGAGAGATGGCTAAGTGGTTAAGAGCACCGACTGCTCTTGCAGAGGACCCGAGTTTGATTCCCAGCACCCATATGGTAGCTACGAACCATCCTTAACTCCAGTTCCAGGGGAATCCAAAGCCCTCTTCTGACTTCCGCAGCATTGCATGATACGGGTGTACCCACATACATCCAGGCAATGTACTCATACACATAAAATAAAAATAATAAATAATATATTTTAAAAAACAACATTCTGATTTCATTATATGACACTAAATATCCTCGAAAACTTGGCTTTTACTCATAAATATTTCACAGATAGTTATTAAGAACTTGAGACACTTTAATTTTCATTTTTCAAATTGTGTATGATTAGTATTTTATACATAAAATATATTCTTGGGTACTTTTCTTAAACTTAACTCCTAAGAACTATAACCTTAAACTATGCATAAACATCTTTATGGTGTCTGTGTGTGTCTGTGTCTGTGTCTGTGTGTGTGTGTGTGTGTGTGTGTGTGCATGTTTGTGTGTGTCTGTGTGTCTGTGTATGCCAAAATGTCCCCTCGGAATATAATTTTTAACTTCTACACATAGTCCCTACACATAGATATTGTTGCAAACCAGCTCTCAGCACCAGATGATGATTCAAACATTTCCATTCCCTTCGTTTAGATTTATGTCATTAATTTACCCATCTTATAAATTTATTCCTTAATTTTGTTCTCTGCTAATTCATCATCATTGACTTGTCAACCCAGTGCTAGAACTTCACTTATATGCTAAAACCTGCTCTGGGAGCAGATGCCCCTTAATCCCTTTGCTCAGTGTGTAATTAGATGTGGGTGCCATGACAGTTCATTCTGGTTCTCTTTGGGGCTGGAGAAATGGCTCAGTGGTTAAGAGCATTGGCTGCTCTTGCAGAGGACCTGGATTCCATTCTCAGCACCCACATGGCGGCTAACAACTGTCCATAATTCCATTCAGGAAAATTTGACACCATTTCTGACCTCCACCTGCACTGCACAATGTGGGTGCACTTATATACATGCAGGAAATACATTCATATGCGTAAATTTTTTTTAAAAAAGATCATTTTTTAAAGTTCTCTTTAAGTCACATCATGATCTTACATTCTTCATACATACATCTTGTGTTATGATGAAGTTCCTGTCCTTATCTGTCTTCCTTCCTCAGATTCCTCAGTGAGAGATACTCTAATCACCACCCTTCTTTGTTGTACCCACTTTGCTCTCTTTGCCTATGATCTGTGTATTTGCATATGTGGGGGAGGGTATGTGCAGAACACATTAGACTTTGAGAAGTAACATGTTTACAAAAGGTTAACTAAATTTTGAATTACACTGTTTTGATATTTGTTTTTTCCTGTTTTCCAATTCTTGCACAGTAAGCACATATGTGATATGTAATCAGATACATTTTTTAAATTGCATTCAACTGTAACTTTTATGATGTATCGAGTGTCTACCAATATCCTTTATGCTTGAATACCTATGTATTAGATGAATTCATTAGACTTGTTTGGTTCTAATTTTTTTTATAACTTTTTCTTCCAGTGTCCTCTATGGAAATAAAATCACAGAACTACCAAAAAGTTTATTTGAAGGACTATTTTCCCTACAGCTACTGTAAGTATTTGACTGCTATTAAGCTACTGAAGTTAATCTTAATACTTTGTTAATTTATCACTTAGTTTTATGGAGGCCTTAGAAAATTCCACCAAATGACATAGCTTAATGGAATACCAGTATTAGTATACCAGAGCTAACATTGGTGATAGCTATTTATATGAAGACAGAACTCATTAAGGCTACTCTAGAACATGTTTTTCCACAGTGTTATGAATGATTATATTCCAGCTGTTGTATTGTTTTGAGGTGGTATATTAATATACATCCTGCAAAACTTCTCTCTTTGGATGTTGCCTGTAGTTGGAAAGGAGACAGACAGAGGCAGATGGGATGCATTCACTACCTATTCACCAAAGAAGATAGGAAGCAAAGGGCTAGGAAAACTTCTACAAACAGACATGATGTGCAGTGAGCCAGACCATGGTAGCCTGTGATTTTGGCTTCCTCATATGAACCCCCTGTCTGACACCTATAAGACTAAATTATCATGAAAGTTATGATGTTAGTGTTGAGGTTTTAAGAAATGTGTTTCTCTTGATTGGGTTTCCTAAAGAAGGGCAAAATCTTGCAGGTGAGTTAATGAGATGCTACACCTTAATTCTACGACTGTTTGATCAAACAGATTATTGAATGCCAACAAGATAAACTGCCTTCGGGTAGATGCTTTTCAGGATCTTCACAACTTGAACCTTCTCTCCTTGTATGACAACAAGCTTCAGACAATTGCCAAGGGCACCTTCTCTGCTCTCAGAGCCATCCAAACTATGTACGTACAATTTGGATCAAGTTTAACAGCCATTGATTTCACTGTGAATGTGAGTCCACTCTGATGCAAGTCATGTATAAAACTGTTCTGCCTATGTTTCCGAAAGGCATTTGGCCCAGAACCCATTTATTTGTGACTGCCATCTCAAGTGGCTGGCGGATTATCTCCATACCAACCCAATTGAGACCAGTGGTGCCCGCTGCACCAGCCCCCGCCGCCTGGCTAACAAAAGAATCGGACAGATCAAAAGCAAGAAATTCCGTTGTTCAGGTAATTCCTCACTTCATGAGATCTTTTCCCTAGAATTGCCGCCTGCAGCTGGCCTTGAGCTTGCTGCCAAACATTGCAGAATCACATTTTTTTTTCTTCTGCTTTGGGGGAAAAAGTGGGAGAAATGTAGGCACAACCGTAGCCAGCAAAAAGAGTATCAGCCAAACTAAAAAGATGCCTGGACCCTTCCTACTATGGTCTTAGATTTCATGTGTAAACATAACCTTTGAGCTAACTAGAAATTCTTTTAAATTATGTCACATTCCATGTTGTACTGTTCTCTGCTGACCGACTTCAATTAATGGAACATGTTTTCTTTTTCTTTTTTTTTCACAAAGTAAAGTAAGGTTTTGAAACATGATTCCATCAGCCTCAGAAATGGGAGCCTAGGGTCCCAGTCCAACAGTCACTCAGAAGGCACTTGCTATTTCGTATACTCTTATTTTGAAAAAAACTGTGAGGATATGGTTATTTCTTTTAAACTTTTGTGAAAAGAGGCTATCTTTTCATATGTGAGGAGTATTGCATTTACCTAACAAATAGCTAAATATGGATGCATTGTATGACTGATAAATAGAATGACATTCCGGCTTCATTGTTTGCTTTGATCAGGTCTTACTTGTGTTCTTATGAGAAAATCATTCACTAGAGTTTTGGTAATGGGCTTCCTAACCACTCCAGGCATATTTCACACTGGGCAGTTGATTCATACTAAAGATCTAACAGAAAAACTAAATTGATTATTGTCCATCATTATAGATAAAGCTGTTGCTCACTGTGTGCTGTGATGCTTCAATGAGTATACGCTTTCATTTAGTTATCTGTGGTAACTTTAGTCCATTCTTAATCTAATAGAACTCAGATCTCTGCTTGTTGACATTCAGGTGCATCTTCTATTTTTTTCTCTCTCTTTTTTGTTTTTATTTAGCTAAAGAACAGTATTTCATTCCAGGTAGGTTTTGCTCGGTGGTAGGACTAACCGCAGACACCCTTGCCTCACCTCGTAAAATAGAGCTTCTGAAACTTTGATATGCATGCTTTTGAAGCACAGCGACTGTTCTGTAGATAGACTGACTTATGCATAGATCACTCGTAGCTGTTTCCTGAAAGCCTGACCTCTGCATGCAGCTTCTGATGTTAAAACTTTACTATGAAACTCGCACCTTCTTTTCTCTCCCTTTCGCTTTGGAACATTATCCACAATTTCTCACAGTAGCTAAAATGTTTAACCCTTTGACTTTCTACTTAAATCAATTTTTTTCTCTATACATTGTACATCTAATCCTTTGCCCTGTTTTTAAAATGTAGCTTACAAGCTCATTTTGAAGAGAGAGGCCTTTCTGTGGTCAAAGAGCTAGCTCTACATGAAATCAGGCGCAAACGTGCAGAATGGCGTGCTCAAGAGGAAACTTGCTCTTTAAAAACTTCTTGTGTTTAAAAAGAATAATTTTGCTTAATTTCATTTTAATTTTTAATATAAAAAGATCTGTTTTGTGATGATTAACTGCATTCGGTGTGGAGGGGGTTTTTTGTTCTTTTGGGGGAGTTGTTTTCGTTTCATTTGCTCACTTGTGACTGTACAATCTTGCATGCCTGGAGTTAGAATATCACTCTACAAAAGGCATATTGACACCCACCTCAAAATCATGAGATGTAAGTGGGGACTAAATGCTTTGAATAATCAAAGCAGAAGGAGAAAATATATTTGAAACATAATTGCAATGTTTTGTCACTTTGCTTCAGCCTTAACCCTCTCAAAACTGATAAGTTTAGAACTAGCTCTTTAAAATGTCTTCTTACTTTGTTCTTGCTTGCAAACTGTAAAATGCCTCTTGATATGTTTGTTTTAAACCACTATGTAGTAAAATATATGTTAAGTATTGATTAGTTCCATTCAGTATCTCTTGCATATGGTCTACTTTAGACTATATTTTAAGACCTATACAAAAGAATATTTCTACCCTGTTAGTGTACAAAAGTATACTTATTTTCTTAAGAAAATCTTTGGTTTGGTCTCAGTTTTTATGGAAATATTTCTACTTGCTACTAAGTTAAATAACCTTTTGTATTTAATAGATTTAAGTATCTTGCTTATTCTCACTTTCAATTTTTGAATAATATTTTACATATCACATGTGGCTGCATATCTGGTAAGGTGTTGAAAAGACCAACTGATTTGTCTTCATTATGAATGCATAAATTTTAGTGTTCTTACCCAATTAAATAAATGAAAAGTTATCTGAAAACTCTTACTTAACTAAAAAGTAAATAATCTAAACACCAGACAATCTATAGAGTAACACAACAATTATGATGTAAATTACAAAATTGCAGCAATTAATGTTGATACCAAATTATTCAGTTCAGTTCAATAATAATTTAAAAATTACATTTCCCATTCAATTCAAAAGACGGTTGGTTTTTTTAAGTTGTGATGTTTTTCTCTCTTACTAACAGGAGTCCAAATAGGTTCTATAAAATAGTCTTTATATCAGATATCTTCTCTTAACTTTAGATTTCTGATCATTCAATTTACATTTTAAAATTGATTATAGTGGTCATGGCGCAGGTTTCTTTGAGACTCCTTTTTTTTTTCTCCTCATAACTAAGTTACAATTTGAGTCTCCCTAAGAACTTAACCATCATCACTATGGCATTGACCATAAATTTTTGAATACATGCAGTGAACCTCTTCATTAATGTTATCAGTACCCATTATTTTACTTTAGGCCAAATTCCAAAGACAATAAAACAGACCTCACTATAAAAGTTGCCATTCAATTGCCTAATATAATGTGACTGCTGTATTGTTATATTTGGCACTACAAAATTATGATGAGATTCTGATTACAGCCCCATCACACATCCTTTATAACTCGGACAGGTTATTTTAGTAGCACATGACCTACAACCCAACTATTAACCAAATGTTCCAGATGTAGTCCTTTAGTATCTCCATGATTAGTTTTTCATTCATTTTTACATGTGTATTTACTCATTACCACTCTGACACTCTAAATATTCTAATGATAACTCAAAATAAAACCTCTCTCACAGACAATTCATCTTTGAAAGGAATGGACACGAATTTAATTTGTGCTACACATATTTACATCATTCCTCTTCTTGCAAAGCCTTTGTGCTTCAAAATAATATAAATTTTATAAAGCATGACAGATGTATCACTCTGTTTTCCCCTCCCCCCGTTGCCATGGTAAAGAAATGCAGAAGAAAGACTAATTAGAGGAAGATGTCTATTAATCTTAATTGGGATTACGCTGTCTTTCTTTCCTCCTTGGTGATCTTTTCTTTTGCAGGAGTTCACCATTTGGCCTGTAAGTAAAAGTGTGTCATCTGAGAGTTAATGTACCACCTTTTCAATCCCTATGTACCTTCGTTTAGTCTTGGTCTTTTGCACCTATTTTCAAGAAGAAATCACCGATCTTTTGAGCTTCTCTGTTGTCCCTGTAGCTTACCTTCAACTTCTTCCTGGATGTTGTTCCTGAAAGCTGTGGTTTCCGTTCTGCAGTTCCGAGGAACGGAGGCACCTTTCCGTGTAGTCCCTTCTTTGTGTTTCCAGGAACCCTTCGGTAGTAATACTCTTACTATGGTCATAAACATTCTGTGGGCAGAATGCATGTCATGTAAACAGTATTACACTTTCAGATGCCTGTAGCTTGTCTCCTTTTCCCTTCGTCTTTCCTCTTGGTCTTCCCTCTGGCCTAGTGGTTGGTGTAGTGATAATGTAGCGAGATTTTCTGTTGTGCTTGATCTAACCATGTGGTTGCGAGGTATGAGTAAAACATGGTTCCGTCAAGCACCATGGAACGTCACGCAGCTTTCTACAGCATGGCAAGCTGCTGAGGCTCAAACAGGACTTACTTGTGTCTTTTTATAGAATCAAAATGAAAAAGAGGGCTTTGGGGGTGTTCCTGAAGATTATGTGAGAGAGAGAGAATAATGAAAGTCTGTAGGAAATTTTAAAAACCTAAGTATATTGATTTGCCTTGAAAGCCCTAATTTACAATGATATACAGGAATATGTGTATTACTGGATATTGTTTTCAATTTTTAACTCAGAAAAAAAAATAATCTTGTCAGCAATTCATAGCTACCGTGTGATTAGTTGGGAGACAGGCTAGCATGGATCAGAACTGGATCAGCAGAAAGTACCGCTGTGAAAAGCTCAACTTTATTAATGTTCTCCTGTTCTCCTGTGTGAATCTGGTCACTCTTTTCTTTCCAGAAAATTCCAAGCCTTTCTTTTAACCCTTTCCTGACATCTGCTGATCAAAATTCCCCAAGTTGTCTCCCTGCTGCATAATCTATAGTTATTCTACTTTTATTCTTCCTATAAAATTAATAAATATTCTAATCTTTAGACTCAGTATCTTTTATTTTTGACTTGAATCCTCAATAGGTACAGAAGATTATCGATCAAAATTAAGTGGAGACTGCTTTGCAGACTTGGCTTGTCCTGAAAAGTGCCGCTGTGAAGGGACCACAGTAGACTGCTCCAATCAAAAACTCAACGAAATCCCAGACCACATTCCCCAGTACACTGCAGAACTGTGAGTTCATCTACCTACAAAATCCAGGCTGGGAGGGATAGAAGAAGGGAGGAAAAGAGGAAGGGATGGAAGAAGGAAGGGAAGGAGAGAGAGACTAAAAGCATTGAGAGGTGGGAATTTTTATCTTGCCATTTTAGTTCTCAAGGACTGCATTAAGTACTTTGCATTAAATGTACCTCTTTTTCGTATAACAATATGTTAAAGCCTATCTGGGTCAGGCATTTGTACCCAGATGTCCCTCAGTGCAAGTTCATCCATTAGAGCCACGTCAGCCTATCTAGAATCCCTCCGCTAAGATATACTCCCCCTCCCTAGCAGTAATCAGTTGTCAGTAGTCCCTTGACTAAGGTTAGGGCCTGCTGCCCATTTGCTCTGTTCTGGGTTTTTGTCTGATTGAATCAGCAAGGGGCTAGTGCATGCTGTCACCATTATCAAATCCAGTGAGAGGGACTATGGGAGAGGTGCAGATGGGCGAGGGGGTCTAAATTTGACTAAGATCTGTTGCATGAAATGCACAAAAACTCATTAAAAATATACATTATAAAAATGTGTTAACGGCTATCTCATTTCACTTTGTCAGGCACATAAATTTACAATTGAATCCTCAAATTATCTCTCAGAATTCAGTTAGCACTTAGTAATGCTAATAGTAAATGGAGCATGTGATTCTTACTGGGTATTTATTGTGGCCAAACATATTTCTAAGAACTTCATAGCTCTGTAATAAAATAAACTGAGGGTCACCAGATCCACTCTGGGAGTCCTTTGATGCTTACTCAATGATGTCACTGACACAGGTGAAATGATTCCGTGACTGACAGGTAAAGAAGCACAAACATTAGTAGCTTGTATGCATGCTTCTTTCTGAAATGAATAGAAGAATAAGGAAATAGGAAAACCTGGATGTGATCAAATCTACATTTATGAACTTAACATAGGACCCAGAAAGAGTGCACTGTGGGAAAATGTGTATTGGGGAAACTATTTGCAGATTCTATGTCTGTATAGTGCACCTTTACCGACTTTATAAAAGGAAGATCCAGCCAGGTGTGGTGGTGCACACCTTTAATCCCAGCACTTGGAAGGCAGAGGCAGGTGGATCTCTGAGTTCAAGGCCATCCTGGTCTACATAGTGAGTTCCAGGACAGCGATCCATAGTGCTAGTTTCCAACAATTCAAGGAATCGTTAGGAAATCGAATCATTTTCTGAACTTCTTAGCGGTGCTTACACACGGCACCACCTGATATTTTTCATTTATTGCTTTGTAAAGCTACTTGTCTGTGTGTGTGCATAATCCTTCTGTCTTCACAGAGATTATAGCCCCTTGATGGCAGGGATGGTGCATTATAGTTTCTGCCCCACTGTGTCTATACACATGCCTGTTAATGAATTTTTAGCAATTTGAATAATTAAAAATAATGTCTTTCAAAGGGATGACAGAAACTAACTCCTTTGTGGCTGTGGTGATTTCCCTCTACCTCCTAGCTTATGGTCTGTGTATTATCGCAACAACTTTTAGAAATGTATGAAGACCATGTATCAGAGACCCTGAATTTTGCTCAGTGTGGTTACATGTGGACTTATACTTACTTCTGATAATGCTACAAACAAATGATATTATTGAACAGAATAATGACTTCAATAAGCTTATTCCTCAATCAAGAATTGTATTAGAAATTAGTTTCTGATGTAGAGGTTCAGTGAAAGACCCTGTGACATTTTTAATGAATGTTTTTCAAACTTTGCCTATAAAATCAATAGCAAAGGAAAAATATTTGCAAACCATGAACCTGATAAGGGATTTAGATTTATAATATTTGTAAGTTATGTGCTGGCAGTGGATTTACATCCAGAATATATGAATAATTCTTATATTTAGACAATATAAAAATGTATATACCTAACTAAAAATGAGCAAATTATCCACATAGACATTTTCCCATTGAAGATACACAAATGGCAATAAAAACATGAAAGAATTAACAGCTAAATTAATCATCTGTCAGATGTACATTGTATGGATTACTTTTCTGTTTCTGTGATTAAATTTCCATGGCCAAAGCAATTTATACAAGAAAGTATTTATTTTGGTTTAAGGTTCCAGACGGAGAATTCATAAAGGCAGGGAAGGCATGGCAGTGGACAGCAGGAGCAGGAAGTTGGCCGGTCACATTTCATATGTACAGGAAACAGAGTGAGAGGAAGTGGGGCAGGGCTATACACCTTCAAAACCCAACCCCAGTGACATCCTCCAGCAAGGCTGTAGCTCTTAAGGTTCTATAATCTCCCCAAACAGTGCCACCCACTGGTGACCAACCAAGTGTCCAGGTACATGAGCCTGTGAGGGACGTTTCTCAGCCAAGCCACTACACAAATGAAAACTAGAAGTCCCCAATCACTCCTATTTGGAAAACCTATAAACAAACAAAAAATTATACATCATTGAGGTAAATGCAAAATTGTGTACCCTATTTGGAAAATAGTTTATTCTTAAGAGTGTTATATGTAGAATTATCAAGTGGCCCAATAATTCTACTCCTATGGATATACTGTGAAGAATTCAAAAGATATGTTCACACAAAAACTAAAGCCATGTTCCAAGCAGTATTTCCCTAGTCAACAAAATGTGGGATAATCCAATATCTAACCAACTGATAAGTGGCTAAATCAATGTAGTATGCCCACCCTGTTATCAGTCATCAGAAGTAACAAAACACTGATAACACTATAACATGAATGGCTCTCTGAAGCATCCTGCAGGGGCTAGACAGGTGGCTCAGCAGTGAAAATCATGTACTGATCATGCAAAGGACCTCAGTTTGGTTCCCAGCACCCACGTCAGGTAGCTACCTGTAACTCCAGTTCCAGGAGGTCCCATGCCCTCTTCTGGCCTTTGAAGTATTCAGATGGGCATATCTATATATCTGCAGATAGACATATACAATTAAAAAAGAGATAAATTAAAAAAACCTTCAAAACATCCTACAAATGAACTAAAAAGACATTTTGTAGATTAAGAATATTTGATTTTGAAGAATTTGAATGAAATGTTTAATAGTTGGTACTTTCTATAAATCATCTGTGATACTTGTGTTGCGTCTTAAAGTTATCATGAGCTATTGTCATCAATCTGTAGGATAAGCTAACCCCTTCTACACTGTAATGAAACTTTCCTCTTCTTCTAGCCGTCTCAATAATAATGAATTCACAGTGTTGGAAGCCACAGGAATCTTTAAGAAACTTCCCCAGTTACGTAAAATGTAAGTCACTTGTTAGGTATCTTAGAGCAAGTATCTTCATTTTCACTCTCTTTACATTTTATTTCCATTTTCTTTAGAGATGGGAAAATACAAAAAAAAATTGGAAAAAAATTTGCATGTGTTGAAATTTGTATGGTACATGAATTCAGGGTAATCTCTCTAAGGAACCTTTCCATATGCTCACATAATGAAAGCCCAAGCCGTAGCACTTCACTTCAGTACAGACAGCTGGTCTAAAATGTGTCCACAGCAGGAATCCAGCAATCCAAGCACATTGGAATGGGTTCCACGATGTTTGTAGCTTCCTTTGCTAACCCCAAACCATGGTGCTATTTCTCTCTCAGCACATTCATGTCACTGTTTGACTTTTTGCTTCATTAAGCTTTCATTACGAGACAGTGAAAATTAATGATTAGTGAGCTGGCTAGATAGCTCATCTGCCTTACTTCATGTCCACAGCTCATATTTCAGAATAAGTTCATAACCTCAGCAGTTTCAGCAACACTGTGAGTATTCTCCATCCTTGAGGAGAGAAGGAGGGACAGAACTGAGGGAGGTCAAGCCTTCAAGGACCCAGCAGCTCCCTGCACACTTGCAAAAGCAGCAGGAGCATTCTTCAATGGCACCCAGGTGCCCTTATGTGTAACTGTCCACAGTCACTCACATTCTCTTCAGCTGGTCAGACCAAAGGGACCTTCTATGTGTTCTGCTACTTCTAGAACATCTCATTTCTTAATTGTCTTCCTTTTTGCCAATAATTATACTGCCTTTTTAGCTGTGAGATGATAGTCAATGCAACAGATGTTTATTGAACAGCTACTATGGGCATTGCATTAAAAAGATCATGATCCATGGGTCAGAGATGATAATTCAGTTAGTAAAGTGCTTGTCTTGCAAGCACAAAGTCATGAGTGTCAACATCATCACCAACATCAAATAACCACATGTGATGGCAGGTAATGGCAGGTGGATTCCTGGGGGTTCCTAGCCAGCTAGCCTAGCATTCTTGTCTTTATGTAACCGAGTACTCAACCTCATCAGTTATTAGATTTCTACAGATTCCTTGATGTTGAGGTGGGATTTCTCTTGGCATAGTTATTCTATCTTAATATTGCTATCTTTTTGACTACATGTATTAGGGAAGAGTATCTTTCCATAGCTTTAAGAGCACCAGGCATTGAAAATCTTGGGATTGTGGAAGACATGTCTATTTATTCAGTAGATAAAAAATGACCAGATATAGTTTTATAGTGCCCTCTGTTGAGAGCAGCCATTTACAATCTGTGTTTTGACAATGTTTCTCTAGCAACTTTAGCAACAATAAAATCACAGATATTGAGGAGGGAGCCTTTGAAGGAGCATCTGGGGTAAATGAAATACTTCTCACGAGTAACCGCTTGGAAAATGTCCGGCATAAGATGTTCAAAGGATTAGAAAGCCTCAAAACCTTGTAAGTATTCCTGTTTTCATTGTCATCAATTGGACTTCATTGTTTCTTACCTTCTGGGAAGATGATGGTTCCTACCTCACTCTTACATGAGAGACATAAAATTTCAGTCTACACTAAGCATTTCCACAGAGTAACTTTTCATCTGGAGGCCACACTTGTCTGTCCCTGCAAGCTTTAAGGGAAAAAGAGACAGTAGCTTTGACCCATATTTCACTCTAAATTATAAAGAAAACATACTAAGAGTTTCAATAACTTGGTTAGTGATAGGGCAATTGGGAGAATTAAGTTCTTTGTGTTTCTAAAGGTTGTTTAGGTAAGGAAAATGAGACTTGGATTACAAGGTAAGTGGGACATTTTATAGTACTTGAATTCCCTTCATTGTGTGATACTTAATTTTATAAGTACATTTGACAAAAATGTACCCAAGAATCCGAAGAGAGAAAAATCAAACTCTTTAGACTTTGTGGGGGTACATAAAGAAAGCAATTTGCCACCAAGAAACAGCCTTAACAATTTCATTAACATAGGCCCAAACTGAAGGGTCTCACCTGAACCCTGAGAAAAACGTATAGTGAGGGTATGATGTATTCCTTGCTCTTTGTGAAAGAAACAGGAAAAAAAAAATATTGCCTCAATCAGTGGATCTGTTAATAGTATTACAAGTTTAAATCTAACCAAAGAGTCCCATGCAGACACCAAAAATTTACCTGCACACAGGATAGTAGAGATGTACTAGAATTTTACAGAGTAAGCCCATAACCCGATGCCCCAGCGTGTTTGGCCTGCCAGTCACAAAGCCCTCAGAGGAACTAATTTTGAACTCTAAAATTATATACAAACATTTTCAGAGCATACATATGGAAGAGATACTGAGGCTTGTGTTGGTGATGGCCGAGAAAATAGGCCACAGGGGCCCAAGCTGTCTCAGGTTACTCAATAAAGCACATAGTGCTCCCTTCTCCTGTAGACACTGAGGAGGTACTTCTTGTTATTGGAACCTTCTTTCATAAAGCAGGATGAAAGACAGGGAGAGGGACTGAGCTGTAGCTTCACCCTTATCACACATATTAGCCCATCTGGGCTGCCACAGCAAGACCACAGACTGGATGACTTGTACAATGCATGTGCATTTCTCAAATTTCTGGAGGCTGGATGTTCAAGACGGAGGTAAATTTGTGTTTCCACTTTCCTTCCCAGCCTCGGGCTTCCTTCTTGGCTGTGTACTCACAGGGCCTTTCCCTCTGCTTAAGGAGAAAGAGATAGGAAGAGTGTGTCAGAGCATGTGAGCTCTCTGATGTTTCTTCCTCTTCGTATATTTGGAAGCTTCATTTGCTCTTAAGGGCCTTCTCCAGATGTAGTCATCTTCAGGGATAAGAGCTTCAAGGTGTGAGTGAGAGGAGCCCAGACTCAGTTCATAACACCATCCTGGACAATGAATCAGTGTTTCTTTTGATTTGGTACAGTCATAGAGTGTTCCCCGAGAGTTCTCTGAAATCAGCTGTGTCCATCCACTTTTAATAAAGTAGAATTCTTGTTGCTTATGTTTAACGCTTGAGATGAGTACCTCCCAGCTGTCTCTTTAAAGCAATTGTGCCACAAAGAGTTTGGAGCAGTTGAGAGCCAGACCTGGGGTAGTTCAAGTTCTAGAGTAGTTCTGTCTGGATCTGTCTACTCTTCTACATGGTGTCTTTACGTGCTCTAAACAATTGAAACCACACCCTATTTTCCACAAACGTCTTAATTCTTCAGCATTGTTAAGATAGTTACTAATAATGTGCATAGTTCAGCATGTTGTAAAATCTCCTGGCACTTCACACTGCATGCATGTGCTGATGATTTTTGCAGCAAGAGAATAAAGTTTTCTTCAGCTTCTTCCAGGGAGTCGTGACTCCAGTAAGATTAAGACCACAAGTCTCCATTATTCATGACAAAGGAAAGTGCTGATAAGGGCGGTTTGCTGCTATCCTATTGTTTCTGAACATCCAATGATGCCTTGATAAGGAAGGCATCATCTTTCTTCTTATGTACAACTTAGCAGCATGCAGAAGTTTGTATTCCTGATTTTTAATGGGGTGGGATTTGAAACCAACAATTTGTTCAATTTTTATCTCCTTTTCTTATAATCTTTGCTCTTCTAGTGCAGTGATTATTTCGTGTGCAGGAAGATCAATAAATAACTTTTCATGAGTTCTGAGTAAGATTTAAATAATTATATATTTGTACGTGAGGAGTTTAGAACACTTTGGTTCCATCTTGAAACCCCACAAGTAAACAGTTCAGAAAGGAAGGAGTTGGGAAGTAGCCAACACTTTAACAGTGCTGAGGAATGGCAAGTGTTTATCCTATCAATGGTAATGTAAAATTAATCAGTGTTTATTCAAGGTAAAGCATCCGACCTTGTTATATATTATGCTTACTTCTTTGGGGAACTTTTAAACTTAAAACTATGAACTCTGTAATAAGTAAAACAATTTGATGTTGTCTTTGTGGATGCTCAGTCATGCCTCACTCCCACAGTTCCTGTCTGATAGTGACTCACTCTCTAAATCCCTGAGATGCCCTCAGCTCCCCACCTGCCATGGCTATTGATTCTTTTCTCCCTCGTTTGTCTTGTATCTCAGATGTCATACTACCCAAATGCACAAATCACTGGGCTCCAAGGACTCAGAATAGGTGACTTAGGACATTATGCAATGAGGCAAACATAATTATAGCATCAAAAGAAAATATGCTACCCTTGTCATGGGATTGTAAATCCACACAGGCTTACCAAGCATTCTGCAGCTGAGTTTAAACACTGATGATCCTAAACATTCATTCTCACAGGATGATCTCCAGAACAGCCATTCTTTATGGGAAATGGACATTGAAAACAATAGTAATGAATACTACATGTCTGCAAAAAAGAATTATTTTGGTTCTCAAAGAGGCAAAATTGATTATCTGATATTTTTTCTTCATAACAATGCCCTTTTCCTTCCCTCAGGATGTTGAGAAGTAATCGAATAAGCTGTGTAGGGAATGATAGTTTCATAGGACTCAGCTCTGTACGTCTGCTGTCTTTATATGACAACCAGATTACTACAATTGCACCTGGGGCGTTTGATACTCTACACTCCTTATCTACTCTGTAAGTATGAACGCATGACCTTACCTGTGCCTGCTGCTTGCCTCAGTGGATTATAGTCCTTACATTTATTAATAGCATTTTAACTCATTGCTAAACATCCCTTAAAAAATCTAACAAAGTATTTAACCATCTCAAAAAGGGCAAATTTGTTTATGTTAAACATCTTTTCTTTTTTTAGTTTTTCTAAATTTATTACCTACTTTATTACTTAAAACTTGGACAAAATATAGACCATTTTCAGCCAATATTTTATACTAGTGGGATCAATGACATGGCTTAGATTTAAAATTCTAACTTGATACTGCAAATAAAAGAAATGTTACACATTTTTCCAGTATTCTTACACTGAATATTTTTATGAAAGTTTTATAAAAAGAGAATTAGTAGAGTTATTACCAGCAAATTATACTTTAAAAGGGTTATTCTGGTGACAAGAGACATATAAAGTTGAACAGACCAACAAAACCGTGTTCACTATGACACTAGGAAAATATTGATGAGGTGAGTTGAGCCTATCTGAGAGAATATTTTGTGTAGACAGCTTGAAAATGAAGAATATGTGTAGGTCTATAATCAGAACTCTGAAAACATTTTTAAAATAAACTCTAAACAATATATTATAGGCCTTTTTATATCTGTATCTGAAACAGAGTGCTTAAAATTATGCCTCTTTATAACTAATAATTTCCTGGTCATGGTAATCGCTAAAGAAAAGGGGAACAAAGATAGAAAGGTTAAAAACAAAAACATGTTTGACATTGCTCCAGTCACTGGAAAAATAATGTGGGGAGAGCACCCATCCATCAGTAGAGTACTTAATCTCTTTTCCACATAAAGTGTGGCATTTTACATGGAGTGACTAATTTGCGCATATTAAAGATGGCATGTTTATAAATAATGGGATTGTCAATAGATTTGTGCTGAAATGTGAGATGCCAAAATTATTGAGATCGGTAGAAGTAAATTCATTTTTATAACTGGCATTTAATCAACTCAGCTGTCAGTTTAGATAGGAATTCTATTCTCTGGAGCAAACAAGAGATGGGAATCTTGAGTTGACAAATTAATGAAATAGCCCTAGTCAGGTTAAACTCCATAATATAAGGTAATCAGCCTTCATCTTTATATTAAATTACTGCATTATCAGTGCAGGGAAATTTGACAGTAGTCAGATTTCTGACAAGTTTAAATTATTTCTAAAAGAGGTATCTATCAAGATCCACTGCATAAACCCTAAATTGCTGCCTTCGATTTTTTTTTTTTTACCTAAAATTATTTGAAGAATTCTCTTAGGTGAATGCATTATTGTTGACTTCTAGACATAAATATTTTAGCAAAAGATGTGTGCACAGTATATTTTCATGTTAGTGAGTACATATGGGGAAATGGAACAACGAAGGTTAAGATAGAATAGTTGTAGCAGAAATAGTGTAGAAAATGGTCATGTGGGACTTAGAGAAATAAGAAAGTGAACCCCAAATTGAACTATGCATTGTTTGCCTACGGCGCTTAGAAACCTCTTGGCCAATCCTTTCAACTGTAACTGCCACCTGGCTTGGTTGGGAGAGTGGCTGAGGAAGAAAAGGATTGTAACAGGAAATCCTCGATGCCAAAAGCCCTACTTCCTCAAGGAAATCCCAATCCAGGATGTAGCCATTCAGGACTTCACCTGTGATGATGGTAAGAAATTCTTGACAAACTATAAGTCATCAAACCTCTGTTCCCATGACCGATGTGATGCGTCTGTTGTTCTATGGAGAGCAATTCTTCCGACACTGTAACACAATGTAGTAAGATGGGCTTAAAGGTCTTGCAGGAAATGAATTCCAAGACAGCCTTCACGCCATAGCTTTCTTTGCTCTTTGTTTGTCTGTAGCAGCAGAGCGCTTTTCTGTTTTCATACCGTATTCAAGGCTATTTGATGTCTATTTAGACGTGTTCTAGAAGATTTTCTAGTTCCCAACTTGGGATCTGATGCTTATAGTGCCTCATCCTACCCTTTCCTTACTATTCTCAGCATCTTGATTGGATGCTATCATGTTGAAATAGGAAAAAAAAAAAAAAGTCATAACAGAAGTTCTAGTAAATCTGGCAAAAGGCATAGTCTTTTTTTTGTTGGTCATTTTGAGACAGGGTCTTCCTATAGTTCCAGCTAGCCTGGCCTAGAACTTACTGTGTAGACCAGGCTGGCCTTGAACTCACAGAGATCTGCATACCTTTGCCTCCAGAGAGCTGGAATTAAAGGCATGTGCCACCACGCCCTGCTTCATAGTCTTCATTTTTTAATTCTTTGTCCTTGCATTTCATTCTGATAATAACCCTATGAGGCAGGCAAAGCCAGCTTTGTTATTGTTACCAGTGAATGAGGAGCTCATTTCAGTTCTGTTTTACTTTTTGTTTTATTATTTTTGTGTGTTTTAAGAATGAGGTACTAAGGCAGATTTCTTTGAAATGTTAATTGTCCTCTTATAGCCCTTTATATCTATCTCAATAATTTTTCTATAATTCAGCTTATATTTATATTTCCTAATTGAAACCTGTAGAAATAACTGAACACACAAGTCACTATTAACATTATAGTGATGAAGCTGGAGAAGAGGCTCAGTGGTTAAAGCTCTTGCTGTTCTTGCAGAGATACTGAGTTGGGTTCCCAGTACTTATGTTGGGAAGTTCACAACTGCCTGCCAGCTTGAGGAGATCTGACACCCTCTTATGGCTCCTGCATGCACACACACACACACACACACACACACACACACACACACGAGAGAGAGAGAGAGAGAGAGAGAGAGAGAGAGAGAGAGAGACATAGACACACAGACACATATACACAACTAAAAATAAATGTAAGCCTTTAAAAAAGTAAAAAAATAAAACGAAGTTAGTCATGAAAATTATGAGCTGTTTTCTGAAATTCTGACTTAGGAAACCTGAAAATAATGCTTTGTGAATATATGGGGTCAAACTGTGACTATTACTGCTCTAGATATAAGTGATCATATGGCCTCAGGACTCTGGTGGTGTTAATCTGATAGCATAAAGTCCCTTCTAGCCCCTTCGAAATCAGAAATCCGTGTTTCTCTGTCTCATCTGGTGCTTTAGGAAATGACGACAGCAGTTGCTCTCCCCTTGCTCGGTGTCCTTCGGAATGTACTTGCTTGGATATGGTAGTCCGATGTAGCAACAAGGGTCTGAAGGTCTTGCCCAAAGGCATTCCGAGAGATGTCACAGAATTGTAAGTCGTTTGTGGTCCTTGTTTCCTTCCAGTTGCAATGATAAAATATGCAGACAAAAGCATCTTTAAGGGAGAAAGTGTTTATTTGGCTTACACTTTGAAGGTGCAGTTCATCCCTATGAGAAAAATCACCGCAGGAGCTTGAGACAACTCCACACGTCCAGAGTTCAGAGTCGAGAGAATGAACAAAGCATGTTTACCTGTGCTCAGCACCCTCTCTACATTTACACAGTCTAGAACCAAACCTAGGCAACGGTGCTATCCACAGTGGGCTGGGTCTTCCCACATAAATTAGTCAAGACAGTCTTCCACAGTCATGCCCACAAGCCAACCTGATCTAGACCATCTGTCATTGAGACTGACTTCCCAGATGATTCTAGATTGTATCAAGTTGAGTGATAAAACTAAGCATCACACTTGGTTTTTCTTTTCCTAGATAATTAATGTTTCATACACCAAGGGGGTGGAGAACTAACAAAAACCTTTAGGATCGTGTTTATCTGTTAATGAACATAAAATACAACCATAATTCAGTAATACAAAAGCCACTTCAGAGGCGTTGGGGATTACTGGTTAGCTGTGTCTCCTTTTCATCACGATAGGCTCCTCAGTTGTGTTTGTTCACACTATGAAGCACCAGCTAAGGAGAGTAAACATTACAGAGCTCCCACACTTAATTCGCTCCCCAGCATTCTTTTTTTTCTCATGGAGCATTTTACAAGACTAATGTTCTGGCAAATGGACTTTGGGAAATATTGAATAGTTAACTTTTTTTACAGTGTCTAGGAACTTCCATGTGGTTAATGCTTCTTCGTCTTTATGATGCCTGGGACAATACTTAACCATATAAGATAAATAATTACCTGGGAATTACAAGAAAGTGACATAATCTTTGCTCTTTAAAGGGAACATTGCTTCTTTAGGCTATAGTTGAAGTTCTTTAGATCCTAAAGCATATCAATTATCCCAGACTCTATCATACTGATGCTTAAATACAAAATGCATGGCCAATATCCAAATACCTAGACCTAGAGTGCCAGTCCTTCAGCCTATACTGCATGGCTGCACCCATGTCACATCGCCAGAATGGAATAGATCAGAGAATGAGATACTGGAATAAGAATGCATACATGACACATTCATTCCTTTCCTTCATGTCTGAACTTTAATTTGATGTGAGCATGTTTGATATGAATCCAAGTGAGTCATACTGCATTTATTTACTTTTTGTTTATAAGGAATCATGGATCAATAATGATTTCAATCCACATGTGGTTCCTGCAGATGTGTGCCTGTAATTCATGCAGCTGTATGCAAGCACTCCAAATGAGCAACTTTGATAAACTTTGGCAGTATGCACCATAGGTAATGAGGTTCAAGACTATGTCACTTCGTCATCTTTTGGCTAAGATCAAGTGTCAGTTCCATTTTCAAGGACCTCATTTTGCAAATCATGTGCAGTACGTGGATCCTACTTTAGTCTAAATAAAACACTAAGAGCAGGAAAACACAATCTTAGCACACGTGAAAGAGTATTTTTCTTTTATTGGAAGTACTGTCAAGTGTTAAGTTTTTCTCGCTCACTACCAACAACAGTAGTTAATTAACTATAAGCACTGTGTTGTGTTTAGTTAAATAATTATTGTTTTAACATGTTTGTATTTCAGAAAGTCAACTAGGCCCATAACCCTTTCCTTTTCCCCACTGGGAGATTACAAGTCTGTAGAATATTCTGTATGTGAAGTGCTAATTTTAGAAATGGCCCTTTAAGGAGCAGAGCATTCACATTTAATGCTAAATCCTTTTGATCATTTTACCTGGCCTTTTTTCATCCTATCAGCAAACATTTTTACATACTCTTTAGTTTCCCATATTAAGCTCCATTGGACCTGTTTAATGCACCCTATCTATGTATTGCCTTTGTCAGCTGAATCTTCAGTTTACATCACACTACAGAATTTAATTTCAATTCCTTTCCTCTAAAATTTTTTTTATAGAGAGATCAGGAGAATACTAACCCACTTCTTGGGATTCAAGTCTTACCTCCCAGAGAGCTTATTCTTAGAACCTTACCAAGTCAGCAAGATCCTTCTCTCCAATCATATATATCCATATATTAGAAAATGTTCGTGTGTATTTTATTAAATTATTAAAGAATTTGCCAAAAATAAGTACGTATTGGTAGACAAGCTTGAACAAATGGTATTCATTAGTTTTAATAAGTTCCGTATTCCTTCGTCTTTAAATTGTTTTCCACGTAGACATCCAGAGTGTAAGTTCTGAATCTTTCTGTCTTGCTGTGACAGTTCCTAGGATAAAAAGAGAAAACAGAAGTATGTGGATTGCTGCTTCCCTCTAGTGGCACCAAGGAAAATACAGCTAGAAGAGACAGGGAGGGACAGGGAAAGAAAGACAAGTCAGAAAATTTGAGTACTTTTCATACAAACCATGTCATGTATCACATCTTGATCATATAGTTTTACGGATGTGTATTGTGTAGAGCCATTTCGATTTTAAAATATTAGATATAGATTATCTTAAGCAATTCTTTGGCTTCTTCTACATTCTCTAAAATTTCAGCTTTTACCTGAGACCTCAGGATTGCCCTCTGCCTGGGGACAAGAGAGGATACATGGCCAGTGTGCCAGAATTGGTATCAGCTGTACCTCTGGCCAGATGATACTAGAAACACTTGTATATTCACTATCTATAATCTGGAAAAGGAAAGCCTTGCTTTTTTTAGTGACATCATGGATATAAACCCCGGCATCCATTAATTTCTGTGTCTTCCCAGTTAGCTGATTCTTTTTCCATCTTACCTATTTTCTGATTATTCTGAGTCTAATAAGAAAGATAAAAATGCACTTATATGACTTGTAAAAATATTTTTGCATTTAAATACGGTTTTATAAACTTGAAAATTTTTATGATATTCCATGAAAGCTCTTGAAATTACTATCATAAAGTAGATATATGACACTAAATCAATTTTAAACTACTTCTAAGTTATATCTAGTTATATTCAAATATCTCCTTAAAACTATCCGTTATTTACCAAACGTATTGATATATATTCAGATAGTAAAAATGTAGTCAGCCTCAGAAACTAGGCTGTGTTAGTAATTGGTCAATTTCATGGTGCCTTCTCCACATAAATACAAGTAAACCCAAGGCCAATTTTAAATATAAATAGCCAAATGAACCTTCTTGCTATGCTGATAGAAAAAATGGCTAGATGCTTGGCTTGCTTTCCTAGCTAAACCACGAAGACATGGACTCACCATTCTGTCCTTAGTTCATGCTTTAGCCTAACTGAACCACAAAAAATTATACTAGATTGGACCACTGTGTGGTTTTCTCCTTTCTTGCTTCTTGGCCCCGTTAAAAGCAAAGTATTCACTTGTATTATGATTTCCTGCTATTACTTTATAAGATGACCTTGTTATTTCCTTGTTTTAAGGTATCTGGATGGAAACCAGTTTACACTGGTCCCCAAGGAACTCTCTAACTACAAACATTTGACACTTATGTGAGTAACATATTTTTCCCTCTTTAACTCATTTTATTTCATGAAAATGGGAATGACAAGGGACAGAAGATTTAGTGACTCTCTCATATAATATAAATCACTTAGACTAGCTGCTTCTTCTGGATCATCGTGGTTCTGGACGAGTAGCATCGCCACTGACTGTCGATCAGGCAGTGGGGTATCTTGGGAAAAGGTTCTCTGTTTAAAGAATCACAGGCATAATAATGTGTAAACAGTGAGAAAAAAAAACACAGTAAAACTGGATTTTTTTGATAAAAAAGAAAGTACTTTACTATAAGCCTAAAAGAAAAACAGAAAAAGACTTATTTTTAAAACATTCCTATATAAGGCATTTTAAAGTAAGTTGTAGTATATAGGTATTACAGTTTATTTTATGCAATCATCTGCATGTATACCATATTTAATTAAACAAGACAAAGATGCTGAAATTCTGAGAACAAATTTCAAAATGTTATTTTTTAAGTTTTGTTTCCTCTCCTCCTAAAATAACTATTTCCTGTTATGGAAATGATTTCTGTCCATCTGTAAGGTAAATGCACGGAGGCACTGAAATATGCAAGTGTTTCTATCTGGTTGTGGGTACAGTATTTAAAAGAAGACAAAGTCCTGCTAAAATTAATTTGACGTTTTAGCCTTACTGGTAACTAATGGAAGTTTTCAGCACATGTAGAAATCAGCAAAATGTAATTAATTTTAATGGAAATACATTATCATTAGTTTAATTAAATTTTATAGTAAATATGGCTAGTTTTAGAGACATGTTTCTAGTGTTCCTAGACTATTCTTATACCTAAATAAGAAGTTCCAGAACATTAAGAACAGAAACTATTACACTGTCCAATGTCAACTTTATCTAGATAGTAAGGTTCATTAAAGTGTTATTGATCTCTTTCAAATTTCCATAAAATATGGGAAATCCAAATGGAAAATGGTAACAGGATTATATGAATGATCAATGACTGGAGTGAGGTGCTTCCTGCTACACCTTGTTCTGTGTCTGCTTATTCATTTGACAGCAAGACTTGTTTTCATGTAATTTTGTTCTGTTAAACCATAAACTTCCTGAAATTTTCAAAAGATCAATCTAACTGATTCAGGTCATCTAAGGGAGAGCACGTGAGTACTTAGAAACAATTAAAAATGAGATCTGTGGATCCAGAAATAGATTTTGCTACTGGCTCATTATAGAAATATATTTTAATAAATACATTCAATTATTTTTAAAATGTGGCATAGGATTTCAGCACCTGAAAACATGGATTATATAGATACTGCAAAGTTCTTACCATTTTCATAATTATGTCTGTCTATTTTACTCATATTTTGGAATTTAAAAGCAAGGATTAAAAACAACAAGGATGGATGTTCTTTTTCTATTCTGGATCTTCCATTTTTTAATATGTTTTGGGTTTTCCTTCAGAAAAAAATGAATATTTATAATGGTTATATGTATATAGGGAATGTATGATAATAAACATGTATTGGGAATATATATGAGTGAATGTACATGTAATGAGAATAAGACCAGATCCATGGAATACACATTGTAACTCAGAATACAACTTGAATTTTCAACTAGCCAGTAAGCATTGATTAAAATTCAATATCTTTACTCTTTCAGTAAATAATTATTTATTGATGACCTTCTTAGTGTTAGAGACTCAGCCAAAGGCAGAAACATGGTTGTTTTGCCTTGTGGACAATGGGAATGTAATTAACTAAGGAAATCTATCAGTGATCAAATTCAAATATGTGCAATTTGTGCATATATATATATATGTATATATATAGAAATGATGGTAAAGAATGTAGACCTGGGACTGTAGAGATGGCTCAGTGGTTAAGAGCACTGGCTGCTCTTGCAGAGCACCTAGGTTTGATTCCCAGCAACTCATATGGGGACTAACAACTGTCCCTAACTCCAGTTCCAGGGGAATCTGAAGCCCTCTTCTGACCTCGTGCATTGCACAACATGGGCACACTTACATACATGCAGACAATACAGTTATACACAAAAAACAAATATAATGGGGACTGGAGAGATGGCTAAGTGGTTAAGAGCACTGGCTGCTCTTGTAGAGGAACTGGGTTCAAATTCCAGCATCCACATGGTAGCTAATAACCGTCTGTACCTTCAGTTCCAGTGAATCCAATGATCTCTCTGTCTTCTATGGGTACTACTTGACAAAAGTGTACTTACATGCAGACATAACACTCATATACATAAAATAAAAATAAATCAATAATAATAATATTTTTTTAAAAAAGAATGTAAACCTGATAGGACTTTGAAGATCCATGGTTTATTTCATACCCAGCAAAATGCATCCAAGCTGTCTGTGGAACATCCCAGGTCCTGTGCATGCAGGAGCAGAGACTTCTGCTCTGAAGTGAAATTAGTCCCTGTGGCCACAGTTTCTTAGCCAGTTCAAGACTGGTAGGCACTCCTGATTCTAACAGGGCAGAGTCTGAATAAGTCACACCAGCATTACAGTCTATCCCAGGGAACAGTGAAGTATTCTTTTCAGATTATAGACCAGTGCTAGTAATACTGCTGTGGGTATGAACAAGCAGACCCCTATCCTTCTGAAACTCACTAAGAGTTCTAGTCCGGTTAGTCCTAAACTCCATGTCTTCCTTTTTCTCTTTTAGAGACTTAAGTAACAACAGAATAAGCACCCTTTCCAATCAAAGCTTCAGCAACATGACCCAGCTTCTTACTTTGTGAGTATGAAATTGTGATACTGACTGTTCATTAATTTATGGCACAAGACAGGTTTACTATATGGTCACATGGTCATTGCTTTCAAGGAATGTAAATTCCATCCAGAGAAACAGAAAACACTTCTATAAAAAGCAAGGAAAGAAATTACAAGAAATCTTCTGTTCAGTGTAAGATAAAAGATAAATTTGAGGTTCATGATACGGTTATGAGAGATTTTTTAAGTTAAACTTTTGAGGCAAGTGTACACAGAATGAAGGATTTTTTCAGTTGTATTAAGGAAATGAATTTACTACAACGTAACACAAAAGTGAACAATGTATATGGCGTGTAAATATTTTCAAATTGTAAAATGCTCACATACCTCACTCTTCAACTGGTTTGCTTTAAAATAACACTCGTGCATTATTAGATTCCTGGGCAAAATGAACAGAATATGTTTGCTTTCAGGATTCTCAGTTACAACCGCCTGAGATGTATTCCTGCTCGAACCTTTGATGGATTAAAGTCTCTTCGATTACTGTAAGCACCCTATGTTCAACAGAATCCCTTTCTTGGAGTTCTGAGTTATACATTGTCTTTTTAATGATGTCACCACTTTGTTGATTCTTGCCTATTTTAAGACACATATGTTATGGTTTACCATAAACTTAAAAATAAATTTTCTCATATAGTATCATATTCAATCACTTCGATTTAGATAGTGTCATTTTCTTTTTTTCAATGCTTGTTGCTGTAGGTAGTCATTTATCTGATAATCTATAATACTAAATAAAAATTTCATATAGTTCCAATTGATTTTCTAAAATTTTTTGGATTATTTATTTTTATTTTATGTTCACAAATATTTTCTGGCATGTATGTAGATGGACCACATTTGTGCAGTACATGTGGAGGCCAGAAAAGAGGGCCTTGGATTCAAATCCCCTGGAACTGGAGTTATGAATGGTTGTTAGTCACTGTGTGGGTGCTAAGAACTGAACTGGGCTCTGCTTTCTGCAAGAGCAACCGGTACTCACAGAACCATCTTTCCAACTACCATAGCTCCAATTAAACTTCCGTAAAAATAAGAAGAATTCACCATCTTTCCAACTACCATAGCTCCAATTAAACTTCCGTAAAAATACGAAGAATTCATTTCTTTAGAAATAGCACAGTATATTAATATTTTCTGTTGTAAAATGTACTTGTTTGATGTACTATTCTGGATTTTTTTCTTTGTATTTATTTTGGTATAGTAGTAAATAAATACCTACAGCTATATAACTTATAAAAGTCACAATAGGGTCCTCCTTTGTTCCTCCATAAGCTATTTTTTTACTTTACAAATATGTTTCTAATATACTTCTACCCTACCATCTGTACCTGTTACTTGACTGTTCGCCTGTCACAGGGTATTCCATATATTGGGGAAAATATAATGTAGCTAACCATCCTCATTTTTACAATCATTTGGTCTAATGGAAAACTCTCATTATTTCTCAGAGTACTCTGTTCAATCTATATTTTTATCTTGGTGAAAGTGAGCTCCCCTGAAAACAATGCTTTAGAAGGGAAGTTCCATACAGGTATTTGGATTGTACAAAACTGCCAGATTGTCTCCCAAACAAAATTTACCCATTAATATTAGCAAAATGTTATTCCTCAAAGCATATGCACAAACTTTAAATACTAGAATATTATTAATCCTTTTACTTTTAATGTAACAGATTAAAATTATTTTTTATTCACATTTTAATTTACATTGCTAATGGCTATAACATTTGAGTATCTTTGGTTGCTTACTGAACATTTGTGCTGCCTGTTCTAAGGCAGCCTGATGGTAGAATTGCCCATTTCCTACTTTTCATTTGGGCATAGACATCTGTGGCGTTTACTGTAGATTTTTAGTCTTTTGGTAAAGGAACTAATCTTTAACTTAGTATTCTGAGTATTTTTTCCTCTGTTCCTTACATGCAAATCTTTTGATGTGGATATGTTTAATTTTGATAAAAACTTCATTACTCTTTTCTTTGCAGTTTCTGGGATTTGCATTGTACATTTAAAAGCTTTCCCCATTCAATTATTATACACAAAGTATATTTTCTTTTAAGAGGTGGTTAATTTTGTTTTTGCATTTAACTCTTCAATCTGAAATTTAACTTTTGCAGATGATATGAGATATGAACTAACTTTTTATTTTTCAAAATAAATACCCAGTTGTTCTAAAACTGTGCTGTTACAAGGCCCATTAAAAACTGAAGGCCTCCCATCCAAGTACTAACAGGCCCAACCCTGCTTAGCTTCCGAGATCAGATGAGATTTGGCATGTTGCTCTGGAAATTGTTATTGAATACGTTACTGCTGTAATAAAATGCTTCTTCTAATCATGTGGTGATTAAATATTTTTTAAAAAATTCAAATACATCCATATAGACTGCCAACATACAGAAGCTTCTGTGTTCTATGGTAACCTGATTATATGTCTAAAATCCCAGAATTTGGGAGGTAGAGGCAGGAGGATCCTGAGTTCAAGGCCAGAAAGACCTTCTTTCAAAAATTAAATAAATAAATTGCTTCTCAGTCATTTACTTTGGCTAAGATCAAGTGTAATAACTAAATATATACAACTGCAATTGAACTATAAAAAAAAACTGAAGACCTCATACATGT